TGTGAAAACGATTTTGTTTTTCTGCCAACTTTACTGTTGCTCCCTCGTTCTTCCTGTACAAGCTCATTGTCCTCTCTCTCACCATCCTCCTCACTCAACTTGAATTGGAAATGGTGGAAAATGACAAAAATATAATCTTATAATAATTATAACAAGAGGCAGTGATGGATCAGCAACAGGACACCACACTGCTGTTATGTGAAATCATATTCAGTCAATGTGTTCAAACAGAAGCTTTATCATTTTTGGTGAATGTGACCGCACGTCCACTCTCACCTGTTCCTCTCTGCTGTCTTCATCCTGCTCTCTCCCTCTCTGTCCTCAAAAGTTAAATGTTACAGTAAATAAAAGACAAACTGATCCATATCAGTTTATAGCAATGCTCAAACTAAATGCAGCCTACTACAGGTAACACCATTTGACCTGCTGTCACCTGGATCTGGAGCTGTGCTGTAAACAAACACTGAAGCCCAATTAAACCAGAACAGGAACAAAAAAGATTTTAGCAAACTAAAATAATAAAGAACATCAGCTGGCAGCTCCTGGTATCCCAGCAGACTAGAGGATCAGAAGGTTAAAGGTCGCTTATATTTTCTAATATTCGAGCTGTATTGACAAACGTTTCTGACCCTTCCTGAGTCACAGTAATGTCTCCACATTGTCAGAACAGTTTGAACTTCTTCTGTATTCCTGTTAAAGTGTGTTTTAAATCCGAGTCACCGGTTTACGTCATGAAATTGCTGCAGCAATAAAGGGGTTTTTTTTTGTTTATTAATGACAAACCAGCCTCTGCGTGAGAGGCGGTGACGTCACGACACCAACAACACTGAACAGTTTTCATGTTATCCTGTAGTGTCGTCAGTGGAAAGCTTCCACACAATAATACTAAAATATTCTATTATTATTACTATTAATACTTAACAGTTATTTTCGGGGCGCTCTGATAAACTCGCCTATGACCCTGTGTATCTTCTTCTTCGTGCTCAGTGCTCTGGCTCCGCCCCTTCTATCGTGGGCACGTCCAGGTGTGTTTGTACCTGCGAGAACTGGACGCTGTCAGGTATCCCAGAATACATTTCAAACGGAGGTAAAGCAGTGATGGACGAGAGAGCGTGAAACTGTAAGTCCAGGTTTGAAATGTTCATTTTTCTGTGGAACAAAAAACCTTTAGCATGTTTTTAGGTTTCACGTCACCACAGCCACGAGCCGCTGCCGACAAACCAGGAAACGAACACTGCGCATGTTTCATTAAAAACAACAAAAACAAGCATTTGTTTGCTTGTTGACAACAGACTCCTCGGTTTGTTTTATTAAAAAGAGTTTCCGGTGTAACGATGCTCGTCCCCCTGACTGCCTGTTCAGCATCACGGCAGCGGGAATAAAGTTGTTGGGAGATGCTCTTGTTGCCCTCATTGTTCTGCAGTGACGTGATGTGACGATAGTCATCCTACAACCAAAGCAGACACCGGATATTAAACCCACTCAGTGTCTCTACCGCTGACAGAGTGAATCAATTATTTTCA